CTCTGCAGCATCTCCTGTCTATTTCACCTCTGCAGCATCTCTTGTTAATTTCATCTCTGCATCATTTCTCATAGATTTCACCTCTGCAGCATCTCTCACCTATTTCACTTCTTCAGCATCTCTCATTTATTTCACCTCTGCAGCAACTCTTGTTAATTTCATCACTGCATCATTTCTTACAGATTTCATCTCTGCAGCATCTCTCATCTGTTTCATCTCTGCAACATCTCTCATCTATTTCACCTCTGCAGCACGTCTCCAATACACCCCCCCCCCCCAGATACTGCCTCCATCCTAGTGCAGACGCTCATCTCCTTACACCTGGATTACTGCAATAGCTGCTGGGGGTCTGCCTGCTTCTCCCCACTCTAGTCCATCCTCTATTCAGCCACCAAAGTGGTTTTCTAAAGTGCAGGTCTAACCATGTCACCCCCCTATTCAATAAATTCCAATGGCTCCCCATCACCTCCAGGCTCAAATATTATGTCACCTTATCTCATCCATTTTTAATTTCTATTTTTATTATAAGTTGTAAAAGGCACATAATTATTAATAGAGCTTTTATACACCTTATAAATAGGTAAATATATAGAGCTAGGTGGCACCATAGTGCACAGAGCACTGAGCCTACAGTCAGGAAGATTCACCTTTCTGAGTTCAAATCTGTCCTCAGACACTTACTAGCTGTATGACCTTGGGCAAGTCACTTAACCTCAGCTTCCTCATCTGTAAAATTAGCTAATGGAGGAAATGGCAAACTACTCCAGTATCTCTGTCAAGAAAACCCCAAAGGATGTGACGTGTAAGCCAACAAATTGGGAGCCCGTTAGTGCAGAGAGACAACCTGGTTAGTGAAAGTGGTTCAGGTGTCAAATCCTAATTTAAAGGTAAGAGGAGCTCCCCACTGCCCCCCACAGTAGGGCTAGGCCTATGCTAATGACTGGGAAGTGAAGGTGTATGTTTGCCCTTCTCTCCTCCATACTGGTTGGCACAGTCGCCAGCTAAAGAGATATACGACTTGATCCCCAAACCAGCCCCATCCTGGCTGGTCTTGGGCTCATTGGGCAGAGACCTTTCCATGGATCCAATTGGCAATAACTCTTAAGGGATCCCCATCCTCCCCAGAAGGTCCTGGCTCCAGTCTTAGACCCCCTGGACCAGGCCAAGCTTCTGAGGGCCCATAGATCTCTCCTAAAACCAAGTGCCTCATCCCCCAGTGTTGTCAGGACAGCAGACAACAAAAATACCCTCCTCCCTCCCTCAGCCCCCCACCCCAGCAGCAAAGCAGCAATCATCATTTCCATGAGCCGGTGATGAGATAAAGAGGGCAGAAAAATCAGACTCAGCAAAAAAGGGCTGCAAGGACATCGAGTCCAACCCCACCGGGTTGTGGCTGAGTCCAGTGAACCCCAGAGACGGGCCATGATGTGTCCCAGACCATACAACCTACCATCGGCAGAGCCTGAATTCCAAACCAGGCCTCCTTGGGCCCAGGCCAGAGCCCAGCCATTGCCCCTCAAGGCGCAACTTGACCAGAGACTCCATCTTACAGGAGATGGCCCCTCTGGCCATCTCCCAATCTCCCGCTCATTCCACTGGAGCACCCAGGGGACTCGAGGAAAGGACGAGGAAGAAGAAAGGGCCCGCGGCTGCCACACCTGGCCCCCAGCTCTCTTACCCTTGGGCATGATCTGGTGCATGGCGACAGACAAGAAGAAGATGGAGTCCCCATAGTAGGTCCCAGAGCCTGCGCTGAAGTGCTTCTGCATGGCCTCCACCACAGGGAACAGCTTATCGGTCAGGACGCCGACATCATGGAAGATAACCTGCAGGAGGAAGAGAAGGGAGAGCCTGGGGGAGGAGGCAGAGGCTCCCCGCCGCATGTTTCAGGCCCTCCTCTGAGTCCCTTCCACACCTCCCCTGGAAGCCCCTACAGCAGGCATTTGGCCCCAGCCCTCCACCAGATGATTCTGCCTAGACTCAGGCTGGCAGGGCTGAACACAAGCCCCCAGCTCTTTCCCAAGTCCAAGCCCCAAGTCCAAGGTCTTAATCCCAGTAAGGACTTAATAAATGCTCATCAAATAAGTTGGGAAAAGCTACTTTGGGTTCCCCTCATCACCCCAGGGGGTTACCAGGGAGTAAGTGACACTGACCTCTGCCCACCCGCCACCCGACTGGGAACTCTGCCCAAAAAGTTCTTAAACCGTGCACACCCTTTGACCAGAGAGATTACCACCAGATCTACAAAGAGATCAAAGAAGGAGGAAAAGTGTACAAAATTTGTACAAAAATATGGTTCTTTGTGGTGACAAAGAATTAGAAACTGAGGGGATGCCCATCAATTGGGGAATGGCTGAATAAGTTGTGATGTATGACTGTGATGGAATACTACTGTGCTATAAGAAATGATGAGCGGGCAGACTTCAGAAAAACCTGGAAAGACTTCTATGAACTGATGCAAAGTGAGGTGAGCAGAACAGTGTAGAGGTAATTAGCTTGGAAAGACTCAGGAACTCTAATCAACACAATGGCTGAAGGTCACATCTAAAGGACTCGTGAGGAAACGGCCTGCCGCCTCCTGCTAGTGACTGGCCAGAGGGAAGACTGAAGCACAGTTTCTTCTCTCTCTCTCTCTCTCTCTCTCCTCTCCTCTCCTCCTCTCACTCCCCCTCCCTGTCTGTCTGTCTGTCTGTCTCTCCCTGTCTCTCTCTCCCCCCACCCTGTCTCTCTCTCTCTGCCTCTCTCACTCCTCCTCCTCCCCCCCAATTCTATTTCACAGGGTTCAGCGGTTGTCAGGCCTATAGCACCTGAGACGAGCACCTGGCACTGACTCTCTTTCCTGCTCCAGACAAGGTCCCGTCAACCACGGCTGCACGTGAGAGCCACCAGCTGTTGCCAGGGTGAGAGTGACAAGCCCTCCTGGAAGGCTGCAGGTGCCCCACGCGCCCCGGGAGGAATCTCCTTGGGGTCTGCTAGGGGCCAGCCCTGGTCAGGCCCCCATGGCTGTCTTGGAGCTGAGAAAGGAGCGAATAATGGAGTAAGAAGAAAAACAGGGCCTGGGAAATGAGGCAGGAGAAGGGGGCAAAGGGGCTGCGAAGCTCCAAGGTCAGGGCAGGCTTTCCAGAGTCAGAGCTGCCAGGCCCTCTCGGTTCTGGGGCACCTGGCTTGAGCAGAGCATCAATTCATCAATGAACATTTATTAAGCACCTACTGTGTGCCAGGCACTGTGCATCCACCAAGTTTACTGTGGCATGAGCGAGACACAGAATGATCCTGAGCAAGCCCTGCGTCACGAGTCACAGGACCTGGGTTCCAATCCTGCCTCTGGCACTTGCCACCAGAGTGATGTTGGGCAACGGGCCTCAGTTTCCTCACGTAAAAGGGGGGTTGGGTTGGAGAGCCTCTGAGGTCCCTTCGGCTGGCCCATATTGACCCTCCTTAATTTGGAGCCTAAAGAGTAAGAATTCAAGATAATTCAACTAGGGAAGAGTCGAAGCTTTGTGGTTACAGAACCCCGTTTGCCTACTCAAGAGCAGAAACAGGTGCACGTCCACAGAATTACAACAGGCCAGTTACAGCCCACACGTGCTGGGAGCCTCCTCCCAGCCCCCCTCGGGATGGACGGGCGGCAGGCAGGACCCTTTCTCACAGTCCACATGGAGAAAGTGAGCCACAATCACAGTGCCGTCTTGGGCTTCCAAACCTGGGCGAGCAGTCAGTCTGTTAGCAAACGGGGAGCAGGGCAGTTGAGGGATGTCCAGGGAGCAAGGCCAGGAACACCTTCTGCTACTTCCATGTCGGCTAAAGGCGGCTGACCTGCACAGGCTACAAAGACGAAGCCACACTGCTGGAGGCTGGCTCCTCAGCCTTCCCACTGTGGCCCCCGACAGAAGGATCTGGGGGGGCCCAGAGAGGGAGACTGAGGAACACAGCTGATCGCCCAGGCCCCTTCTTGGGGGATAATGCCAAGAGGGCATGAGCAGTTCAGGGCTTGAGATGTCACCCCAAACTGCGGGTGCTCCCCAAGGCTCTGCCCATCCTGGGCCCTCTCCCTTCTCAGTGGCCTCACAGGCTCCCAAGGGTCACGTCCACACGTTTCTCCCTTGTATGTCAGTCCTGTGTCATCTATTGCCTATTCAAGATTTCAAACTGGATGGTGCCCCAAACTCAACCCATCTAAAACTGAGCTCATCCTCTTCTCTCCAAACAAGGGTCTCTTCCAGACTTCCTGAATTCTGTCAAAGGCACCACCATCCTCCCATCTTCCAGCTTTGGCATCTGCCCCATCCCTCACACCCAATCAGCTGTCGAATCTTGACCTTCTCTTCCACCTGGGCCCTTCTCCACTGGCACGGCTGCCATCTTGTTAGCTGAGACATCATCCCCTCTCACTTAGATTGGGCTCGCCCCACTCCAGTACAGCCTATGGAATGTTGCCAATTTTCCTTAAGCGCTGATCTGACCATGTGCCTCTCCCGGGTGGTTCCCTATTGCCCCGAGGTTCACATGCCAACTTTTCTGCGGCTTTTCAAGCCCTTCCCAACCTGGGCCTAACCTGTCTTTCCAGCCTCACTGGATTTTACTGCCTTCCCCATAATTTAGCCAAACTGGCCTTCTCTGTGGTCCTCACTCATGGTGCTCCATTGTCCATCCCACATCTTTGTGCTAGCTCTCCCTCTCTCAGATACGGCTCAGGCACTGGACTCTCCCCTCACCTGCCCGATGCTAACATGAGCTGGTACTGAACGCCTTTATGGATGTCACTTATGCCGTATTCATTTATACGTGTATTTGTGTTTGTTGTCTTCTCTTTGGAAAGGAAGCTCTCTGAGGACAGGAGTTGTTTCATCCTTTGTCCTTATATCGGCAGCACCCCAGAGAGGTCCTGGCACCGGCGGATGCTTTGGAAACGCTCGTTAGCTGACGGCAGATAAGCAAAGTTGGTAACTGAGTTGCATTCCCTTCCTGGGTCTGCCCACAAGGGAACCAAGGGCCCCCGGGGCCAAACTAGCTAGTATCCAGGCCGCCCTTGGCAGGACGATGTCTATGCAGCCTTCTCTAGGCAGATCAACTCCAATCAGCGCCTGAAAAACCTCAACCATGGGCAAGGTGCCTGCTGGGTGCTGGGAATCCTGGGACAAAGCTGGACCAAGCAGCCGCACCCCACCCCCACCCCCACCCCCCCAGCTGGCACTCTACTGAGGAATGCACCGGTGAGCCCTCGGTCATCGCCCACCAAGGGCCGGGTCCACAGAGAGACAAAGCCAAGAAATGAAACAATAAGGCCTGCCCCGCACTGGGGGCAAACAGCACATATACAGACAGCTAACATAAAATACACACCACAAACAAGCCTCATGGGGGGAGGGGAAGACTAGAAGCAGAGGGGGACGGGGGGGTGGGGGGGAAGAAAAGCCTTGGGTAGGAAGGAACTCTGGAGCTGAGTCTGAAGAAAGAAAGGAGGAGAGGAAGGAAAGCCTTCCAGGCACAGGACACAGCCTGGGCAAAAGCACACAGATCGAAGCTGGCTGTCATGTAAGAGGCACTACAGGTAGGCGCTTTCACTGTATGCCCTCTGACCCAGCAATAGCACTTCTAGGGCTGTATCCCCAAGAGATCGTACAAATGGGGAAAGGACCCACACGTGCAAAAATATTTACAGCAGCTGTTTGTGCGGTGGCAAAGAACTGGAAATTGAGGGGATGCCCATTCATTGGAGAATGGCTGAGCACGTTGTGGTATATGAATGTAATGGAATACTATGGTGCTAGAAGAAATGATGAGCAGGCAGACTTCAGAAAAACCTGGGAAGATGGTCAACAGATGCTGGGTGAAATGAGCAGAACCAGGAGAACGTTGTACACGGTAACAGCCACGCTGGGTGATGACTAAATTTGACAGACTTAACCCTTCCTGGCAATCCAAGGATCTAAGACATCTCCAAAAGTCTCACGATAGAAAGGCTATCCACAAAGAAGAAAGAACTATAGGTTTGAATGCAGATCGAAGCCCAGTCTTTGCTACTTTTTCTTCTGCTGTGTTTTGTTTTGTTTCCTCTTTCTGGTGGTTTCTCCCATTGGTTCTAATTCTTACTTACAATATGCCTAATGTGAAAATATGTTTAATAGGAATGTATATGTAGAGCCTACATCAGATTGCACGCCATCTTGGGGAGGGAGGGGAAGAAAAATTTAAAACTCAAAAGCTTATGGAAGTGATTGTTAATAAATCAAAACAAATTAGTTAAAAAAAAAAAAGAACACATAAGTGGGAAACAGTCTGGAACAAGCATGGAAAGGAAGGCTGGAGCCAGGTGACAAAGGGCCAGAAATACCAAGTGGAGGATCTGAACTCAGTGCTACGAGGAGGGAGCCACGGGGGCTTCTCGAGGAGCAGAAACAAATGGTCAAGCCTGGGCTTTGAGAAGGGCAAGGCCTGAGGCAGAGAGAGACTCATCAGGCGCTTCTGTGACCATGGGCAAGTCACTAAGTCTGAGAGCTCTCACGTGAAAATGGAAAAGGTCGAAGCCATTGCAGGATGGCTACAAACCATGAGAACGGGCCATTTGAACATAAAGTTGGGAGCTTCTCTCCCCACCTCCACTGTTACGTGTGTTCTCTGGGGGACCCAGAACATCATCGCCATGCGGGACATTGGTCCTAAGGAACCCTCCCACAGCCCACAATGTGTGCATGAACCCTCAGTCACCTGAGGGTCTGGGTCACTGGACAAAGGCCACTGGTATCACACAGGAAACATCTTGTGATTGGTAGAATCAGTCACACACCTTGGGCGTGTGTGTGTCTGTGTGTCTGTGTGTGTGTCT